ACAGGATCTAGTGTGGATACCATGACCTACATATTCCCAAGCCCACCCATATTCCTATTTCTTCCTCCTTACTTTAAGAGCAGCAGCCTCTGACTATCTAGGGAAAGAGCACTGAGCCCTACAGTGCAGAAGAGACCCTGAATGACTTCTCTATGGCCATCTGATACCAACTGAACCCCTGAGCCACCTAGAGAGTTATCAAGTGAGCACTGCAGCCAGGGATCCTGCCTCTTCCCCATCCAGCCCTTGCTCACCATTAACTCCCTTCCCTGGAAGTCGCACCCTTAGGGCTTAATCTTTCCCCTCTTTGACAGAGACTTACAGGGCAGAGGGCCAGGCCCTGATCCACAAACTCTCATATCCGGGTCCTACCTAAGTCTCAGCAAACTGGTCCCTGAGAAGGAGGTTCCCCCTCCACATACCCTCTGAGAAGTTCAAGGTCACAGAGCTGGAAGCACATGAGTTGGGATTCAGAGCCCAGCAACCCAATTTGAGCTTCTTTCTGCTGCTCAAAGGGAGTAAAATGAGACCCCTGTCACCAACCCTATCCAGAGTCACTCAGAAACACTCCAGGGCCAGCTGACTGTGCCCCTACCCCCAGAACCTGTGTGCTGGGGAGCCCAGAAGAGGAGAGGTGGGACGCAGCCTGCTTCCCCAGGATGGTACTGAGAACATCTGTGTTCAGGACTCAGCTAGAGCTAGAGTAGTAGCTAGAGTACCCTTCCAGGGTAGGGTGTTAATGGTGGGCAAGGGCTGGTAGGGTGTTAATGGGGCAAGGACTAGAGCTCCAGCTCCTCACATGTGCAATGCCCCAAGTTTAATCCCCAGCACTGCAGGACATATGAGTACTATTGGAGCTTTCGAAGTCCCCAGCACCACAGGGTGCCAGCGCTGAAGCCCTCAGCATGACTGGCTGAGTGTGTGGGCCAGCGTGCCTTCTAGACCCCTGGAGCACTGCTCAGGCCCTCCCCGAATTAGATGGCATCTGTGTCTTGTTGCTTGTCAGATTCGTCCCAAGAGGAAAGATGAACATTTTCTCCTTGCCTCCAAATCCCCTGCAAAGGGACTGTTCTAGGTCACACATTGCACAGTGAGCATTTCCTCTAGTTACTGCCATGTCCGTGGGCTGGAGCAATAGCACAGTAGTAGGGCGTTTGCTTGCACACGGGTGACTCCGCCGACCCAGGTTTGATTCCTCTGCCCCTCTCGGAGAGCCCGGCAAGCAACTGAGAGTATCTTGCCTGCACGGCAAAGCCTGGAAAGCTCCCCGTGACGTATTCGATATGCCAAACACAGTAACAACAAGTCTCATGATGGAAATGATACTGGGCCTACTCGAGCAAATTAATGAACAATGGGAGGACAGTGCTACTGTACTACTGCCATGTCCATGTGTACCTGCCTTGCATTTTCTGGTTTAGTTCAAGTACTACTGGCTCTCTAGAGTGGTATATGTGTATAAGAGTGTGAATATGTGTGAGTGGGTGTGTATGGAAGTGTGTGTATTGTACGAGTATGTATGAGTGTGAATGTACATGTGTGTGTACCGTGTGAGTATATGTATGTGTGTATGTGCATGTGTGAGTGTGTGTGTATGTGTGTGAGTGTGAGTATGGATGTATGCGTGTATATGTGTGTATGTATATGTGTGAGTGTGTGTATGGGTATATGAGTGTATATGTAAGTGTGAATGTGTGAGTGTGAGTTTGTCCCTATGAATGTGAGTGTGTCCATGTGTAAGTGTGAGTGTGTGTGCATCTGATGAGAGGAGGGTTAAATATATTTCTCCAAAAACTAGGAGTTAATATCTGTGCCTCGAGGTAGAAGGTAGTAGGAGAAGAGGAAACTTGCATTTAAAGAGCATTTAAGCCCGGGTACCCTCGTCATGAACTTCCCTGCCACCTTGGCCCTTTCCTCACTGCTCACAGCATCATGATGCCAGATGCCAACAAGGCCCCAGCCCACAGGCTCCCCAAGCAGGGCCAACACCATGCAGTCAGCCCCCAAGGGCCCGGCTATGCCCCTTAGCATTGTTCACTCCCTGCTGCTCAGTCTGTCTACGGCTGTTCTCTCAGCCATAAAATGACTCAAAATGGTGCCACAGGGCAGAGCTACAATCAGGAGGGAATGAGTTCACAAATGTGAGAAAACGTCTACATTTGTGAGTATGCTTCTAACTCAGTAATGTGAGACACAGAGAGTAGCACGATCAGAGAACTAGGCGTGGCAAACACTCAAGTGCCCACAAAGGACTTCTTCGAGAGCTCAGGATGAGGAGCACAACCCTGCCATCCCACCTGGGAGGGAGGTGTCCCTTCAGCCAGAGGGACCCAAGCTATGGGCAGGCGGGACCCAAGTCAGTGCTGTCTGGATTCCACGCTCACTACACTAGGCCCTGGTCCCAACCCTGAGAAGGGCCAGACCTAGGACATATACCCACCAGGATGAATCCCTGTTCCCAGCAATCCTGACTACCCCTGAATGCAGCAGAATGAAGCATCACTGTAGAAACCACTCCCCAGGCTCATGGCCGCTGGGCTGAGCATCCTGCCACCTCAGCACCCCCCTCTCCGCCCCCAGAGGAGACCCCTTCCATCACAGAGTGTGAATGTTGAGCTTCCTCAGACTCCCATCCCCATCTCCCCTACAGTCCATTACCAACTTGGTCCCAGGCACCTGCGAGGTGGAGCAAGAGAAAACTGAATGCCTCCCCTGGGGGCTGATCCATTGTTGTGGGGGATGGGGAGCTGCCATGAGAGTGGTATGAATTGTAAAAAAAAGTGTTCCAGATGGACAGAAATTACCTAGTCATCCAGGGAAAGACCCGCTGGAGAGACAGTAGAGGATTGAAGTGCTGGTCTTGTGCTCCACCAACCCTGACTCAATCTGTAGGATTCCTTATGACCCTCTGAGTACTGCTAGGTATTTCTCCTGAGTACTGAGCCAGAGGTGGCCCATGAGTATACCCAGGTATTGTCCAACACCCCCCATGTCCCTAAAAAAAGAAAGACCCACATAGAACACTTTGTCATACAAATACACCTCATGTACAAGGAAAGAAAGAAAGAAAGAAAGAAAGAAAGAAAGAAAGAAAGAAAGAAAGAAAGAAAGAAAGGGGGGAAAAGGAATAAGATAAGCTTAAGCCATCAAGATAACAGGTTCTCTAATACATTAAGAGCATTCACTATAAATAATTTTTAAGATAAATTTTCTCTTAATTGCTTTGCTCTGGACCACCTCAATTGCTGGTCTCTGGCATAAGTGTTGAGGGTATTACAATAGTGGAATGAATTCCCTCTGAAACCGATCATTCATTCACTCTTCTATCATTTAACAAACAGGAACTGACTGACTGGGTAGGTCAAAACAGTTGACCTGGTGTGCTGTAGATTGTGTCAGGCATTCTGCTAAGAGGCATTTGTTGAATACCCTAAAGTTCCATGAAGACTCCAGTTTTTCCCCAGAGTTTAACTCCCAATGGGGAAAATGGGAAATTACCAAGGCAACAAGCGGAGGCAAAATTCCATTGGAAATGAGATGAGTATTGGGTAGAAAAAGACAAGTGATCTGACAGAATGAACACACCAGAAAACAGGGGCCTGAGATGAAGCAGGGGAAAACCCTCAGAGAAGAAAGGACCATGATATTCAAGCTTAAACCAGAAATAGGATAACCACAGCCCTGTGAAAACTCCATCTCAAGTCAGGAAATCCCAGGAGAGAGAGTTCCATGCTGCAGCCCCCAGTATCAGCCAGATTAAGCTATCCATTACACGGGGGCTAGCTAAGAGAGGGCAGGGGCTTATCACAAACCCTACTTTTGTCAAAGAATCAACTCCAATACCTCCTGTGGGAGTTGATCAATATTTCTGCCTTCACACAACCAGGTATCATTCTACAGCTGGCATCTGAAAAGCATACTCATTATTCCATTCACTAAATTATGCTATATTAAAATTTTAATCGGCGAACATAACATTGGAAAATGAGTACATCCATACGCTGCTGTTGCCAGTGTAAACTGTCAAACCATTTTCTGCAAAGGCAATATTGCAACAAAAAAACCTATAAAGATGCTCATATTCTTTGGCCTTCCAACTCTACCCCTAGGGAATTTATCTGAGGAAATAATCTGGTTCAACAGAATAAAAATGTTCTGTTCAGAAGAACTCCATGGAGGTGTTAATTGTTGCATGCACAAAAGGAAAGATAAAATAAATAAGAAAACACCTGGAATTACCTAAATGACTACAAATAGGAAAAAATTTAAAAACAGGATGATTCATTTGATGAAATACTATACAACCATTAAGCATTACAACTAGGATTACCTAGACTTTCAATATGAAATGGAACACCCAGCTTTTGCAAAGAAGCAGGTATGAAAGCATTGTGCATACTTTAATGGAAAGCACTAGCCATATTTCAAGGTGAATAAGATCAAGAAAATTGAAAAAGGATTGAATCCAGACCAGCTGTGTGTGTCTGTCAGGGGTGGGGGGTGGGGATATTTATTTCAAAAGTTCTACCAAGATATCCTCATTATATCGAGTTTTCAATAAGAATGCCCTCTAAAACAATTGTACTATCTGGACACTGAGATAGCACCAATAAAGCAAGGAGCTGGGTGCATTCCACCTGAAAATGTGAGACAAAGCCAGAGTCACATTTGGAGATAACTTCTGTGCTCTAGAGCCTACATTTTCCACATACAGATCCTTCACGCAAGTCTCAACATTTGAATAACAATCCAATACCATTTTCCAATTCCAATGAGGATGTCTGTTATATTTGGGGGTTCATGGTTTTGCGGTTATCGTTTTTTTCTTTTTAACGCATGTTTGGAGTGGGTGAAATGGAAATTGTGTCTCCTTCTACTAAATGGGAAATAGCGGAGAGAAACAGCAAATAGGAAAGTAGTCTTAACTCCTGCCACTCACGCCAGGATGTGGCCCAGGGGTCCCCTGCAGCCCAACCACAGCAGGAGGGAGAAATACTCACCTTTCACAATCAGCTCTGCATAGTTAGACACACCGGAACCCCCATCTGAGCGAATCACACAACGGTACTTGCTGACGCTCCGCTGGGCCGTGTCCGCCACGCTGACTGTGGCTGAGAAGCGCCTGTGGTTGACCACACGGGTGACCATGAGAGCCGTGTCTCTGCCATTCCATTGCTGCAGGGATAGAGGACAGAGGTAAGAGGAGGAAGCAGCACCAGTAAATGTTCCCTGGTGACCTCGAGCATGGAGGTTCCACCCTTCTCCCTGTCACTGGAGTTGGAAACTTGCATCATAAGAATGGGGTTTCCATGTGCCTGAAAGACAGTACAGGGGCTGGAGCAATAGCACAGTGGGCAGGGTATTTGTCTTGCACGTGGCCAACCCAGATTCGATTCCCAGCATCCCATATGGTCCCCTGAGTACCGCCAGGAGTGATTCTTTTTTTTTTTTTAATTTTTATTAGTGAGACACCATGAGGTACAGTTGTAGACTTACAAATTTTTGTGCTTGGGTTTTAGTTATACAATGATCAAACACCCATCCCTCCACCAGTGCCCATTCTCCACCACCACTGATCCCAGTATCCCTCCCACCCCATCCCCCCCATCCCACCCTGCCTCTGTGGCAGGGCATTTCCTTTTGTTCTCTCTCTCCTTTTTTGGTGCTGTGGTTTGCAAAAGAGGCATTGAGTGGCAATCACATTCGGTCTATAGTCTACTCTCAACACGCATCTCCTATCCTGGGAGGATCCTCCCAACACCCTTTATTTGGTGCTCCTTACTCTACCTGAGCTGCTTTTTCCCCTAGAATGTGTGGCTGGCCTCCAAGTCATGGAGTCAACCTCCTGATACTTATCTCGGCTATTCTTGGGTGTTTAGTCTCCTATTTTGCTACTTTATGTTCAATGCAATCTTTCTATGTCTGTCCCTCTCTTTCTGATTCATTTCACTTAGCATGATACTTTCCATGTAGTACCACTTGTATATAAATTTCATGATTTCATCTTTTCTAACAGCTACATAGTACTCTATTGTGTAGATGTACCGAAGTTTCTTTAACCTGTCATCTGTTCTCAGGCACTCAGGTTTTTTCCAGATTCTAGCTACTGTAAATAGGGCTGCAATGAACACACAAGTGCAGATGTCACTTTGACTATACTTTTTTGCCTCTCTGGGATATATTCCCAGGAGTGGTTTGCTGGGTCAAATGGGAGGTCAATTTCTAATTTTTTTAGAATCATCCATGTTGTTTTCTGCCAGGAGTGATTCCTGAGTGCAGAGCCAGGAGTAATCCCTGAGCATCGCTGGGTGTGGCCCAAAAAGCAAAATAATAATAATAGTAATAATAATAATAATAATACAGTGGGTGGGCTCTTGCTTTGCTCATGGCCAACATGATTTGGTCTTCGGTACCACAAATGGAGCCCTGAGCTCTGCCAGGAGTGATCTCTGAGCATAAAGTCGGGAGAAAACTCTGAGCACAGATGGGAGTAGTAAAAAAATATGTGTGGCTGGGGTGATGGGGAGGGAGCTCCTGACTTGCTTTTAGGAGTGCTCTAATTATTGAATTAGTCAATAAATATTACCATTGAGCTGGCTCTGGAGAGAAATGCTTCTGCTCAGCCCCCTGCTGGTCATCGTTATCTTACATGGCACTTAGCCCCTGACCTTCCTTTTTCTAAACAGAACCTTCAGGATTCTACCAAAGGCTCTGGTGGATGCACAGAAAGCCAGCCCCTAATATAGCATTCCCAGCCCACAGCAGGTGGCCCATCGCAAACCCTGAGTGCCCCCTCTTAGGGACAAAACTGTCACCATGGATAGAATGCAGATGGGGGCTTTGGGGCACCTCCTCCATGTGCATGCCCGGCCCTCTCCCTAGAATCTCCTATCCCCCTGGACTGTTCTATCCCCACTAAAAGGAGTGTTTGACCATCGCATTTCCAGGATGCCTCTCAACAGACTAGTTAAAATTCCCACACACTTTTGTCTACACATGTTTTCCACTGTAGGAGAGCAGTCCAGCTGAACCTCAAATGACAAGGGTTTCAAGTTTTCAGGCTCACTTCTGAGATCATATTTCTATCCTGAGGTTCTGCATCTTGATTGAAATCAGGGATGCAGAAACAGAAAATAATGAGGGTCGACTACAAAGGGATAAAATTGGGTATGAGGAGACAGTCTTAATCATCCCCCAAGATGTCAAGGAACAGTAGTAGATAAATCTTTGAGGAGTCAACATGAACGGAATGTACATAGTCGACTCTATGGGGTAAGGAAATTCTGACACCAATGGTGTCCAAGGGCCAATTTTTCTTGGCTCTGTTCATCTCAAGCACCTTTTCTAGAAGTTTCCTGAATTGGTAAACATTTCTAGAATCAAGGTGAACACTCAAGCATTACTGTCTTTGCATCCTGAATCTTAGTGATCTTCTGTTTACTCTGAACAAGATGCTTTTAGAGGAGCAAGGTAGGATGAGTGGTTAGGTGCACTCAACAGGACTTAGTTCTATGAGCATTTATTAGGCTCATACTCTGTGCCAGACCCTGAATCTCCTTTCTGATACTCACAGCCATGTTTGAGGTGTGTAGGATTTCTGATCCTTTTGAATTCAAATGTCAGAGAAGTTAAATAAACATGAAGAGCTAATAGCTTCCTTATGCAGGGTTTTAGCTTCTAGTCAAGCATTTTTTTCACTGAGATCTTATCATCACTGCTTAACTTTTTACCTAAAAGCAAGGCTGAATGTTTGAACTGTCTGATTGGGTTTAGGGAAGTCTTGTGAAGTATGTGTTCTCACACTCCAAGTCTTCTGAAAATTGATCTTCATCATTTCCAGTTCAAAGTAGATACTTCTACCACGAGTCTGTTTTCCATCTCCCTTGGCCCCAATCTGGGATGTGTAGGATGGGAGCACAGACTGAATAGAATAACATGCTTCAACTTTGCCAAAACCAACTTTACCAAAACCTCACCTTAGGGGAGGGAAAGGCAGAAAGCAGGAAGCCAAGAAACGCGGGAGGGGTGGGGAACCAAGTTCTCCTGGGACTTGCAACTTGTAGAGTGTAGATTTCTCCTTTTTATTTTCTGTAATTCTAGCTTTTCTGCTTCAAACATATATGACTTTCATACTTAAAAATAACTGGTATTCTTTCAGGTCATGGCATTACTAGAAAAAATAACCAAAGTAAACAAGGAAAAGCCAATGAAAGAAATGGAAGGTGAAAAGATATTAGGGTTGAAACTGCCAATTATCTACCTCATACCTTGAACATTTTAAAAAAATGGCACAACTTGGGAAAACTATGACAACCAACCAATACCAACACAATCCTGTTTTGTGACAGATTGCAATGAGGAAGTCAAGAGAATGTCAGCCAACACTATAAATGTACCCTGATATGAAGAAGAGCCTAAGTAATATCTTCTAGGGCCCTAAAGACCCGAGGTCTCAGAAGAAGTTAATTCTCCCTGTCACTGTTCAGAGCGCTTCCAGACTACTGTCATGGATATAGATGAATTATTTTATTTCCTGGAACTTCAGTGGCTTCAGGGATCATTGTATTGGACACTGGTGCCCATTCTAGAGAGGAAATGTGAAATTCCAACACATGAAGGCATAAGCCAGGAGTAGCAGAGCTCTCTAAATGAACCATGAAATTAGCCTTGGAATGTGTAGAAAGCAGGATAACAACCCTGGTCCCAAAGTATCCACATCCTAATCTCGATAATCTATGTATGTGTTGACACAATATTGGGTGGGTCATAAAAGAGACATTAAAGTTCTAAGTAAGCTAATAGTTCTGATGTGGGGAGATGACACAGGATACAGGTGGCCCAAAGTCCTCATAAGGAGGATCAGTACCAGAGAATGAGATGGGTTAACAGAGCAGATGTAGGTTAGAGTGGTGGGAAGACAGATTGGGTTGAAAATGGGAGGAGAGAATCTGAATCTAAGGAAGAGAGGTGGTCCCTGGCAGCTAGGAGAGGTCAAAGAAGGGATTCTCCCAGGGAGATTCCCAAAGGGATCTTGTCAACCTGTCGAACACCTTTAGCCAAATCTGACACATCTCCAACTTCTGATGACCACAACTGCAAAGGGAACATTCTTATGCTGTATGACCAGGTGGGTTTCAACCTTTTACTAAAACCACAGAGTGGTGGTTAAACACCACAGGTTTAACCACTAAGATGTGTGCAATATGTCACATTGGCAGTAAGAAAGTAAGACAAAGGACAATAGAATGATCCAGGGCATGGCCCCATTTTTAACAATGAAGCTTAATTCTCTAGGATATCATCTCCAGCATTGTGTACTTTTCTTTCAAATGATGTCAGATTCCAGAAAAGCCAAAGGGGAATCAGTGCTCCCCCGGAAACAAGTCACATATTATGTTTGGCTCCCGAACCACCAGGCTTGCTCCCATCGAAGGAGAGGAAATTGCAGGTTGTCTTATAAAATCTCTGTAAAATAGGCCTTTTGAAAAATCACACTTGTCATACTGGGAACAGGCAACAGCAGGACAGGGATGAGCAGGAGGGCACACAGTCAAGACAGTAAGGAATGCGGTGGTGGCCCCGGGGGCAAGGAGAAATGGAGCGGATGCAGGGAGTGAGGAAAGAATGCTTGACTGAAAGCTGGAAAACCTGTGTAAGGAAGCTGTTAGCGCTCATGTTTATTCAGCTTCCCTGATACTTGAGTTCATCGAGAAGAGCAGCAATCCTACACACCTTAGACATGGCTATGAGGATTAGAAAAGAGATTCAGAACCTGACACATAGTACAAGCTTAACAAATGCTCCCAGCTACTGCCTCAACCCTCAACAGGAGCACAAGAGGAGAAAGTCAGGGATGGTGCGATTAAGCAGGAAAGGACTCAGAAATCTAGACTCATAGACAATTGGGCAGATTTGAGGGTGAAGGAGAGATTCAGAGGGAGGCACAGAGAGGCTGAAGGGGACCAGGAGCCTGGGGCAGAAGGGAGAGTTGGTTTTCCACTGAAGATGCCAGATACCATGCAAGGAGGCAAAGGGTCAGGTCCTGGGAAAGACGAGGACTGAAAGGGGTATCTAAGTCCAGCTGAGAACCGACATGATATACAAGGAAGCCCATGGAAGATTCAATCTGACCCTCCAGCCCTTAGGATGGATGGCTGGGGATTTATTTTATTTTT